TTATGAAACCTAGCTGTAGGAGATACATATATACACCACTTTATGAAATCTAGCTGTAGGAGATACATATATACACCACTTTATGAAATCTAGCTGCAGGAGATACATATATACACCACTTTATGAAACCTAGCTGTAGGAGATACATAAATACACCACTTTATGAAATCTAGCTGCAGGAGATACATATATACATCACTTTATGAAATCTAGCTGTAGGAGATACATATGTACACCAATTGAATGTAAAAAAAAACAGTAATTTTAGAGAACAATGTAATTTATGCTTCTCATATTAACAAGTGGGAGCACATTCAGTTTACGTCTTGTTTAAAACAAACATACTTCTTTTATAAGTACAATTTGTTTGGAAGATATTGATATATATTACTGTATCTATTTTGGTATCTGCCCATCACTGTTAAACTAGCCAGCCCTTTATTTTTGGGGAAGTTCCAAGAAATTTAAGTTAAAAAAAATAAACTCTAGATGTGTATAAAGCTATGAGTTGGTTTGTTTTAATCTTTATCCTGCCAGCCCCATGTACTTTTACATTAACTTGATCAGGGAAAGGATAATAATAGAACATGCATTGATATGTACAGTCAAATGCTGAGTGAGGGGTGTGCAGAGCAAGTCTTTCTTTTTGTTGATACATATTAAGCATACTATTGTCTCTTTTCAGTCATTTGATAGATTCCGAGCCGCCAGATTAGTAATGGACTGTCTATGTACGTTTGAGGACGCCTCTATGAGTCGAATGGCTGTTGCAATCTGCTCTATACTTGCTGCTAAAATATCCACAGAGCAAACTGCCTTGCTTGGTAGTAAACCGTACATGAAGGTAAAACATACTGTGAAATCATTTTATTTTCACTGGTGTTTAATTTCACTATTTACGAGATTTTACCTACAGCGAAAATAGCGAAATTGAAAACCAGTGAATGATTTATGTGTTCATCGTACATGTAAATTGCTTGGTTTGGAAGAACTACTGCTAATTGTTATATGGTGCACAGTGTGTATTGTTTCAATGGTCGCTAATGACCAGATGTTGCTCAGCTGTGAGACAAAACCTGAATAAATGAAGTACAATTGTTTACATTCATTAACGTACAGACCAGGAATTACGTTCTCTTCTAAAAACTGCTAGTAATGAACCAATTCTACCTTGTATCCGCAGAAACTTTTAGGTATCGTAAAGCGGAAAGCTGAGGAACGTGAAGCGGACGTTACACTGAAATTCACTCTAAGTGCGTTGTGGAATTTAACTGATGAATCACCGACTACTTGCAATATATTTTTAAGTGAAGGTGGATTAGAACTTCTTATGCATATATTAGAGGTAGGTAACAATGAGAACATAGTTCGTACTTTACATTGGAATGTTCAGAACATAGTTCATAATCCACATTAGAACATTTCAAACATAGTTCATACTCCACATTAGAACATTTAGAACATAGTTCATACTCCACATTAGAACATAGTTCATACTTCACATTAGAACATTTAAAACATATTTCATACTTCACATTAGAACATAGTTCATACTTCACATTAGAACATTTAGAACATAGTTCATACTTCACATTAGAACATAGTTCATACTTCACAGAACATTTAAAACATATTTCATACTTCACATTAGAACATAGTTCATACTTCACATTAGAACATTTAGAACATAGTTCATACTTCACAATAGAACATTTAGAACATAGTTCATACTTCACATTAGAACATTTAGAACATAGTTCATACTCCACATTAGAACATTTAGAACATAGTTCATACTTCACATTAGAACATTTAGAACATATTTCATACTTCACATTAGAACATTTAGAACATAGTTCATACTCCACATTAGAACATTTAGAACATAGTTCATACTCCACATTAGAACATTTAGAACATAGTTCATACTCCACATTAGAACATAGTTCATACTTCACATTAGAACATTTAAAACATATTTCATACTTCACATTAGAACATAGTTCATACTTCACATTAGAACATTTAGAACATAGTTCATACTCCACATTAGAACATTTAGAACATAGTTCATACTTCACATTAGAACATTTAGAACATAGTTCATACTTCACATTAGAACATTTAAAACATATTTCATACTTCACATTAGAACATTTAGAACATAGTTCATACTTCACATTAGAACATTTAAAACATAGTTCATACTTCACATTAGAACATAGTTCATACTTCACATTAGAACATTTAAAACATAGTTCATACTTCACATTAGAACATTTAGAACATAGTTCATACTTCACATTAGAACATTTAGAACATAGTTCATACTTCACATTAGAACATTTAGAACATAGTTCATACTTCACATTAGAACATTTAAAACATAGTTCATACTTCACATTAGAACATTTAAAACATAGTTCATACTTCACATTAGAACATTTAGAACATAGTTCATACTTCACATTAGAACATTTAGAACATAGTTCATACTTCACATTAGAATATTTATAACATAGTTCATACTTCACATTAGAACATTTTAGAACATAGTTCATACTTCACATTAGAACATTTAGAACATAGTTCATACTTCACATTAGAACATTTAGAACATAGTTCATACTTCACATTAGAACATTTAGAACATAGTTCATACTTCACATTAGAACATTTAGAACACATTACATTCCATTTCTTTATATACATGTATAATTGAGGTATTTGAACTCTGATATAGTTGTATCAATCTAGAAAGTGTGGGTAGATCCTCTGAATCGATTCTACGGTAGAAATCGTTGTGTTGTTTGAAACCTAAAATGATCAGTGTAGTGTGCTTGGGACTAATTGGTACAACAAATGGTGTGTATTCAACACGCTCCATGGATTTTATATTTTTGAACACCTTCCAGTATTAATTGCGTCAGTTATATCCATATACAATGTAGCCAGTAATGGCGTTATATTCGGCATGTATGAATGAGAGGCTAGGGTGATAATTTATTAATGAACATTGGACTTAGGCATCAGGCGACAGTGAAAGGACGTCATTTGATTCTATAATAAGCATCTCAAATAGAAAAAGATATAATGAGTTTTAAATAAAAACGAACAAGAGTGCATTGCTTGCAAATGATCTACAGTACGGTGAAACTTGTTTCCTAATTGAATATCGTACTTGTTTTTGAGGTGTTACAAACATTGATTGTTACTCAGTTGTCATTGTAATGACATACAATTAATTTGTTGGTGTGAAATCAATTAGAGTTTATCTGTATCTTCTCACCTGATACGTCAAGTGTGTTTTTACCCAATTCATCAGAATCCTCTGAATTCAACACAAAAGTGTTTCATCAATGTTAAAGTATGATATGATTTTTATGGAAAAACTGCAGGATTTGTTTTTAAAAAACAAGAAATAAGAAGTAATCTTTGGAAGATAAATCAGAGCATTCAAGAAGTTTTAAACCAGAAGTATGGCATTCTTGAATACTTAGATTGAATTCTAATTTAAGTGTCAGAAACGATATAGAAACGTTCCAATATTAATTCCTGAATTAGAATATTTACAGTAATCCCCAGTAGATGATATTTGTTTGTGAGCAGAGTTGAAAGTTGACGGTCATTGCTTTGCATTGTATGTAAATCAACAACAAACACACTTTACTCACATGATCATACCGGTACATCTTATTGGGAGCCAAGTTGAAAAGGTATACTACAAAGAACTGTCAACCTTTAAATATCAAGCTGAGACAGAATACATACATAGTAGTAGTTAGTGTTTATAGATGCACTTAATATCAAACTAAATATTAAACAAATGTAATGCCTCCAGCTTCATTTCACTCTAGATACCATTATTAGATGTGTAGTGTAATGGTTTCCATGGCCAGTGTTCTTATACTGTGAAATTGACTAATTTTCATTGGGTTTAAATTTTGTTGATTTACCATTTCAGGCATTTTCAGTGGGTTTTAAATTCACGGTTTTATCATTAAGATAATGTGCTGAATTTTACATATTCACTGGGTTTTATTTTAGTTTATTTTCCAGTCAGTGAAATAAGCCAAATTAAAATCCAGTGAATAATTGACCCCTTTACAGTAATTTTTTTAAAAAAGGACTTTAATAATTGAAATGTTTTCTAAAATCAGAAAGTAATTACCCTCTCCCCCTGTTTATTATAATATTGCTGAATTGAAATATATGTTCTGTAGCATTGATGTGTACGTACACGTGTTATTCAGAAGACGCTAACTCTTGCATTCTTTTGACTTCTAGTCCATGATAATATATTGTTGTTGTGTTTATTTTTTTTGTAGATTTTTCCAAATGAAACTGCCTTGGAAACCAAAGTGCTTGGATTGATTGTGAGTATAGTTCGTTAATTCTCTGCTCCAATGATTTAGCTTCTGTGACACTTAAATATCAAGGTCAGAAATAATAATCCTGTCTGAGCAATCAAGTTGTTTGCATACGATTTATAGCTTGCATGAATTATTAGGCGCCTGAGCTCAGCTTTCTAGGTCGTATCGACTTTACAGTCTCCATCCATTTTACTATGATTGTAAACGCCATTAGTATTATGCCATTTTAGTAATTTATGGTGGTGCAATGGTTTAAAAACAGTTCAAATTCCCAAGGACACAGTGTCAATGGTCATTTCTTTTTATATTGCACTACATGAAAAAAGTTTTAAATAACATTAAAAGTTGACAGGAAGGTTTTCAGTTATAATACATGGAGTAACATGGGCTAATTATAATCTTTATGTATCTGTATATTGTAGAATACTTTATTTTCGCTTAGAATTTATTTTCGCTACTTTCACTGAAGGAATGTTTCAGACCCTTTTTCTTATATTTTACCGTCAACTCATCAAAAATCAGTGAAAATTAATTCCATACAAAACACCCAAAAATTCTATTCAGCGTATAGTATTTTACAGTATATAATTCTTGGTGCTATGGACGACATTAGGTCAGAGTTCCATTTCTCTGAGAATGAGCGTAATTGCTACCAGGGATCTTTACATGGGCCTTGTTGTAGTATTGCCAACATTATTCTTTCACACTATATTAGCTCAGCTGGTTTACTTTTTAACACTTGTTGTATTGATCACCTACTTTACAAACCATTTGGGCCGGTATCAGCTGCGCTACTCAGTCTCGTATCTGTCATGCTGTGACAAGCAGTGGTTTTGCTGTTTTATACTACAAGGGCTATTTTTTATCTATAAATAACTTACATTGTGTATGGCCGTTCATTTATTACAATAATACTTGTATTCTGGTTTAGGAGCCTGTTTTTGCTCGTTGGAAATCATTCTGTGTGAAATTATTTGCCATGTATTGTAAAAAAATTTAAATAAATTAAAAAATTTAAAACAAGCGTGGATAGCATAATCAGTTAATTTATTTTATAAATTTTTCTAATTTTCATAATTACCAGTACAGTATATTGCTCGCATAATGACAACTTTGTGAACTTCTTCAATAGCAGTTGAATTATATCTCTAGTCTGTTCTAGAATTCCTGCTATTTGAAACAAAAATAAAACGTGCATTAACAGATCTTTTGAATTTGATATCTTGACATTTGTCAACTACAACATGTACACTGTAGTGTCACTATATAAAAGCATATTTACATGGATGAACTCTATAATATTGATTTATTTCTTGAGATAAGTAGCTTCAATATACAGTACCAGTGGGTGTGAAAAACAACGTACAAATTGATTACTAATATATAGGTTACGTACTCCAGGCAAGAAGGTTAATGTCAAAGGTACAAAAAAACCAATTTGTGTTGATGGTGATTGTATCTCGTCAACTGTTTTTTATTTCCACTTTAATACAATACACCCTCCAGGACAAAAATTACAACAACGTTGTGAACACTTCTATTTGAATATCACTAATAGTATACTGTAATACTGTAAAATAATTTATTTTAGCAGGAAGTAATTTTCACTGAGTAGTCTTTTTGGGCGTTTTGTATGGAATTTATTTTCACTGATTTTTGACGACTTGAATGTGTAAAATATAGGAAAAATGGTATATTCGCTGGTTTTTATTTTCACTGAATTATTCCTTCAGCGAAAACAGCGAAAATTAATTCCAAGCGAAAATAAAGTATTCAACAGTACCGTACCTAAATGAAATCGCTCAATTGAAACAGTTTTCACATTTATATTACTGTTGTCATAATCAAAAAAAATAAAAAACTGTGTCTGTCACTGCATTTAGGAAAATAAATTGTCCAAGAATGTTTTTATTTTACTGGGTTTATAATGTATATCTGGCACTTTCAGATTTGTATGTACAATTTGTAGTACACTGACTTGAGCAGATAAGGGTTGAACTATATGTGTAAATACAATTCTCAATATAAATTTAACTCTAATTTAACAATGTTCTGCCAACGATGTATGGCGAGATTAAAATTGTGAAATGCAAGTTTGTCAGAATTAACCTTTATACTTCATTAACCTTTTCACCACTAGACTTTCTTACCCGAATTTGTCTACACTTTTTATTTTATATTCTTTAATATTTCTGGAAATGAACCCTAATTTTGGAGCCAACAGGCAAAATTTGGGTTAATTTTCTACTAACAAAAATTGGGCTATTTTTGTCCCAATTTTCTGAAGAAAAGTGCAGGCTATAAATGGAAGTATTTTGTAAATTTGTGATGGAAATACTGTAAAGGGGTCAATTATTCACTGGATTTTAATTTTGCTTATTTCACTGACTGGAAAATGTGCTAAATTAAAACCCAGTGAATATGTAAAATTCAGCATAGAACACATTATCTAAATAAAACTGTGTATTTAAAACCCAGTGAATATGCCTGAAATGGTAAATCAGCGAAATTTAAACCCGGTGAAAATTAGTCATTTTACAGTAGGTGAAAATACTGAAGGTAATGGGAAAAACACAAGACGTCTCTGCTAAGCACCATTAAATACCATAAATTGCCCACAGATATCATTCCCACCCACCCACACACACATACATACACACCCACACTCTAGAAACACAAACGTACACTCAAAAAACCATTAGCTACAATTCAAATCCACTTGGTTTTACTCAGTTGACGTAATTAAATGTCAATAATTTTTAAAAAAAAATAAAAATAATGACTATCAATTCAGAAATGGTTGAAAATTTTTTTACAATTTTTTTGTTTCTGTTTATTCACTGTACATGTTGTAGCTTCTTGACAGCCGGGTTTTTCAGATTTGCAAATTATTACATCATATTCATTTCATCAATTGATGGTTGTCCTAGCAATGCATACTACTTGCTCCAAGCAATGATATAATCATTTCGCAGATATAAGGTTTCAAGAATTATTACAGCATTTTTGTCTTTTTAAATCGTACGTATATCATTGCCCCAAACAATGATACAAGTTCACAAATGTAATTCCTGTTGTGAACTTTCTTGATTTGAAGAGAAAATTTTGCAAAAGTCATGATTTTCACTGATTTGAAAATTTGTCGTGCGAAATTAAATTAAAATTTACAGTATATCTTTTCAAAGGACACTTTCTGACGGTTGTCATAACTACGCATACCGGTAACTGCTTTACATGCACCACATCTATAAATGAATAAATGATGACAAAGACAATCGTGTAATCAAAAAATAAAAGTTGGCCACCTAAGCATTTTTTTTTTGCTTCAAATCTTATATTCAGAATAGGTAATTTGAAAATCAATCCAACTACAACTGCTGGAGTAAGTAAATTAGCTAAGGAGCACACCAGTAAAGATTACCGGTAAATATTTTTTCAAATAATGGGCAGCTCGACCAAACTATATCTTTAATATATTATTGAAATCTTAATGTTTTGCCTTCTTTGGGAAGCAGATACAAAATACCTGTGAATATGCACACCATTTTGGTTGCTAAGAGACTAGCCTGATGTACCTAAGGATATATATATACCGGTACTTAGTTTCACCGGCAATATCCCAATAAAGTGAAAATTAGTATTGCGGTCACACAGCACATATATTTCGTATTCGATGTGTGATTACATACACAGTAATGGCTTTTTGATAATCATCACTTTCTAACCATTTATTCAATTAAAAATATATTATGAGGTAATTACTTAGAATAACGTAAAGTAAGCACAAAGGCAGAATGTTAATCAACGCTTAGCGGACGTTGATGCGTTTCCAATACTGCCTATTAAAAGTTCATACTTTACAGTAATCTTGAAGTAACCACTATATTATACGTTTTTGCTTGTAGTAATAACTTAATAATAATGAGAAATGTTTTGTGTGGTGCGAACGTTTGCGTCTCACGCTACACCGCTTCTGTATACAAAAGAAAATGTTCGTAAATGTGATACACATTTTCCAAATAAGGAAGACTTTCGAATGTGTCCATTAAACTTTCAAACATATCCGTACAGCATTTTACAGATTCTATTGTTGTCAATGGCAGATGTATAATAATTTGAAATATCTCCTTCTTTTTCACAGAATAACATTGCTGAAGTCAAAGAACTTAGGCATACACTCTTGCGAAATGATTTCATACACCATGTAAAGTAAGTTCTAACAAGTGTTTTGACTTGAATCGTAGAGTCTCCAAGCATGAAATCATAGCAACCTCATTTTTGGGATCACTTTCAGTGACTAAAGTTTTGATTCTAATTATTAGGCATCTTCTCGAAGGAGATCAGATAGAAGTGAGTTACTTTGCTGCTGGTATTGTTGCTCATATCACTTGTAGTGTTGGACCTGATGGATGGACTTTATCAGCTGACCTCAGACAACAACTATTACAATCACTGGTAAGAAATATTTAAGTGTCAGTGCCGATGTGATGCGTCACTGAGCCGATGTGATGCGTCACTGAGCCTATATGATGCGTCACTGAGTCGTTATGATGTGTCACTGAGCCGTTATGATGCATCACTGAGCTGTTGTGATGCGTCACTGAGCTGATGTGATGCATCACTGAGCCGCTATGATGCGTCACTGAGCCGATGTGACGCATTGATTACACTACAAGTAATTCTCTGGCCCATCTTAAGAAAGTCAGTCGTACATTGATATAGTTATCATCTTCTCATGATTAGGGAATTTGTAATTTGGTTATGGCCACATTCATCCTTAAAAGGCGGTGGTCGATGTGCCGTGTCCTGTTTGATATGGGACTCATAGCGACGTATACAACACGTGTAAAATACATTTGTTTGTTCACACAAAATTCAGACACTGTGTGATGACCCCTGCAATTTACCGGGTAATGCAAGATTAAGTCAGATTATAAACAAAATAAGTGTGAAACTGAAAGATATCCCAACATTTTAGTTTACGACTTTAACTGCAGCCTCATGCAATCTAAATTTTGTCTTGAAGGCCCCTCTCCTCAGCAGCTCATTTAGAATACATTTCTTAAAGACATTACTTTTAATTACTACATGGAAATCTACAGCTTAATTTCACACACTGAGATCTATCGGGCCATTGCCCAGTGGTGATATACATTGTAATTGAAATATCAATCCAATCATTTGATGGAGTGTAATGAATACAAATCTATGATAGCCAGTGGGTGTAATGAGCATATCTATGTTTGGTGTTCACAGAACGATGCCATTCGTAGCTGGGAAAATCCTAAAGGTGAAATGGTAGCCTACAGATCATTCAGTCCATTCTTTCCATTGCTGGCCCCAGATGGTATACCCGAAGTACAGCTCTGGGCTGTCTGGGCTATACATCATGTCTGCACCAAAAACGGTAAGTTGATTTAATTAGGCCACTACATTTGGCAGTGTGTAGTTGTTGTTTTTTTGTGTGCAAATAATTTGCTTGTACGTAAATAACCAAGACGTGTCCATGTTCAAATTAAGTTGCTGATCAGCTGATATCAGTTTGCCATATCTCTACTCAAAACTTTTCAATACCTTCACCTTGGTAAGGAGGCAGAAGTAATGGACAATGTATTTTCCGGTCAGGTACTCATTTCTCCATTTGTTGTTTGTTTTAATTTATAAGTGCTTGTTTTATGCCGCAGGTTTGCGTTACAGTCCAATGCTAATAAAGGAAGGAGGTGTTACTGTGCTGGAGAGACTGTTAGCTTGCAAAACTGTCTGTGGCCAGGTGCGTACAATTGGTGACAATATACTGCAGGTACTACAACAGCATTTACCGACAACCATCCTGTAAAGAGAAGTCTAAATTTACACTACCACGAGTGCTATTTCTTTCCACGATTATATTGGTAGTTGTCATCAATTGTTATAATGTGCTGTCATCTCTGTTTTATATTAGTACAGTCCAGCTTCATAACTTGGTCTCTAATATTAGAGTTGATTCCAAACTTTGTAGGGAGGGAGGGAGGTATGAGGGAGGGTAGTATAATTATTGCTACATTACAGTGCTGTACTGTTTTTAGTATGATTCATATGCAAATGCATGTTAATCTGTCAACATGCCAGTTGAATGTCGAGACAACGATCAGCATTATTCAATATTTCGCTATTCACCTGCTGTTGAATATTCCCGAATATAATTCTGTATTTCAGAAAAGCATTTTCCAGAGATCCCATAGCATTACTGAGATATCAATCTATGTGATCAAAAGGTGCATTTAACAATGAACCCAGCAATAGATTTAACAAAAATTCCTAGAAGCCAGCGATCACATCCATCTGTACCCTGGAAATAAAACAGACAGTGTGCAGAAACTATTGTAATTAACAATCTAACACAGGAATGTCTATTTTCATAAAACTGCCAAAACTCGTAGTATTCAAGCAGCCATCATTCAATATGTTGTCAAACTTTTTTTCAGATTATTATTCTGCTTCATAATTTGTACAAAACCTGCAGAGGGGAGAACACTGTACTGTATGTAATTGAATTAGAAAGTCTGCTGTTCAAAGTAGCCCATAATTCGTAGCAAACTTAAGAATTATTATAATCTCAATACAACATGTAGACTGGGTAGTTTTGTGTCAATTTAAAAAGAAGGGATTACAGTGTATTATGCATGTAGGGTTGGTTCATGCATCACCTTGTATAAGGCCCCTCTTTGATAGTTGCGTAGGCTTTAAGTAGCCTACATTTGAATTTGTTGTATAAATTATTTTTTTTAATGAATATTTGAAATGTATTTCAAATGAGATATTTCATTCCATTCTATAGTTATGCAAGAAACTTTCACTGCCATCACTGGCTTTTAATTTGAATTCTTCTACTTTTATTTTTTTTTTTTTTAAATTTTCAAGATTTGTCATTATCGTTGATGAATTGTATGTAAATACTTGTGTCGCTATTTATGAAGCCATCTGGCACAAAGTAAAGACAAATTGAAATGTATTTTAGCATCAGCATGCAGTGAGTGAATGAATGAACACTGCCATTCGATTCTCAAACATTGCATTATGGGAAATTCTTGCAAATTCAGTTGAAACATATCAAAATGTTCAATCTCTAACCTTTTCCCATAATCTTTACACCTTTTTTTCACCAGACTTCCTCGCTCAAATTTTTCTGCGCTTCTCTTTTATTTTTCAATGTTTCTGGAAATGACTACTAATATTTGAGCCAACAAACAAAATTTTAGTAAATTTTCAGTTTTTGCTCACAAAAATTTGGTTATTTTTGTCCCAATCTTCTGAAGGAAAGTGCAGACTATAAACGGTACTATTTTGTGAATTTGTGATGAAAAGAGGGAACTGGTGGTAAAATGGTTAATCTTAACAAGCTTCTTTTATCTTAATAATTATGTCGTCATGCCTTTGGTAACCTACATGGTCATATTACAACCACTTAGGTTATTTATTCATTTCTAGCTCTGAAGTGGCTTGGAATTGAAATTTTTGCCTTTGGACTTCCTGAATCTGATTAAAATCAAATTTTAAAGAAGCTGTAGGTAAACTGAAGAGTCAAAATTTCAGAACATGTGCTTTTCTCAGTTGTTTACTGTGTTGTATTTTTTCAAAATTATATATTTCACAATATGACCGGACTGTTAGATCAAACGTGTCTGTTTGCTATTATTTATACAATGGCAAGATATCAGGTAATTACGATGATTATTTGTAATTTCAGTTATGGCAATGATTTTAGACCTCACAATGGATTGATAACATTATTAGGAAATTCAAAATTCAAGAAACCTCTTGCGTAGGTGTGCATGCCGATAATTTCATCTGGCTTTATTTTCACTTATTGTAGAATACCTCTCATTGAACTTGAATTTATTGTCGATGGAAGGGTTAATGAGGGACAGTAAAATTAATTTTGCTGTATTTCTCACATGGTGATTCAGAGAAAATATTCTACATGCGGGACAGATGTTATTTTTTTCAGCAAAATATTTATGGATTGTTACAGACTATAGAGGGCAGTATTTCAACAACAAAAAACTAAATAGAAGGAGGATATGGTTTTGAAAACAGAGTTCTGAAAACCCTTCTTGTCGTGACTTTTGGCATTGCTGTCATCTACGCACACACATTTGAACCTCTCATATTTACATGTGTTTTTCAAGCAAGCTTGAAATAATTGAATTTTTTTGTGAAAAATTATTTGAAAAAAGTCTATCAATTTTTAAGTATTAATTTATTTCAAGCTGTATTTTATTTAAGAAATACTGAAGATAATTTTGATGATGAAAAAAAAAAAATTAAAAAAAAAAAATCTACAAATTTCTTCAAAATTCATTAATATTCGTTACCTTGGCAGAACTACTGGTATTGCTAAATTAGAATCTTAGAAGCTTTCTGAGCTCTCCGAAACTTCTACAATAAACGCCTAGCATTGGTCACCGAGCTTATCTTATTAGCCATGCAAATATATTCATCATCTCATGTCGGCTGACGTCACTAGAACCGAGAGATGTCAAATACTCTCCATTTATTGGCCAGTTTAAATGCTATACACGCAAATCACATTATCTTCAGTTGATTTACGTCACTTACGTTGACCGCATTAGCAATTAAGTATATGGTCAATAGCTGGTGTTGATTACGACCTACGCCCTATGTGTTTAATATAGAGGTTTCTGAAAGCATGTAGATTCTACACTAACGCTATCGGTACAACAACCTCGACATATATTCATTTATAATGAATTAATTACCGGTTGTGGTAAATTATTGGTTATACAGATAACCCCCTCTAGTGGTAAACAATTAATTGAAATTTTTTGCTGGGGTGGGGGGGGGGGTTCAAATGTGAAATTGGACTTTAAGTACAAGTACAGTATTTGCTCTATTAGAACTGCATCTCTAATAGACATTCGTGTAAAGAATTATTAATGCCATCTTGTTTTGACATGCAAGTGTCTTTTTGCTTTGAATAGAGCATATACTATTTTCTTGTGCTTGATTTTTGCTTTATGTCGACTATTTCAAGTCTGTTGCTTTCTTGAATTATTTCTTATCCATCTTCATTGTATCAAATTTGCATAATTTGTTTATTCAGTGCATTTATTTCTGACTTTCATTTTGTGATTAGCGTATTGGTCAGCAAGTTGGATGGCATGTTTGGTGAAATAGCTAAACACTGGAAAATATTTCAAAATGTTTTTTTTTGTTTGATGTAGCTATGGTAAAAAGGGAGCAAATGACCGTGTCATTGAACGAACATTGCACGCCAATCAATGTTTATGACTTAAGTCATTTGGATACTAGTACCTTATTCAAGCATATCATTCGCTATTGTTGACAGTTTAGAGTGATGAACGTTGCAAGATTCAGCACCAAATACAGCACATTAGTTTGATTTTGGTAATTGGATCAATAATTCGACTTCATTTCAAACTGTTTCATTTCTTTTTTTGCTCTGGATTATTGAGTCAAGCTGATGTCATGTACTGCATCTTTATTTATTCTTTGAGTAGTGTTTCTAGGCTTTGTATTGATGTACTCCGGTGCTATGTTAGTTGATGTTTTGCGACTGTCCAGTTTCCCAGGTTTCGTTGCTAGGGACTATGTTTGCATATCATGTGATCCACCAGAGATGCGAGAAATTAAATTAATTCATGCCATAGATGTTAGATTGATTAACTAAGTAAGATGTCAACAAATCTGTCAGTGTACCAAACTTACAGTACAGTATTAAACTTACAGTTCTTCAGTTCAAATTTGTCGCACTTTTTGGAGGGTGTCTACTCACTTATAGGCAGGCATACTTTGTACATCAATGCATTCCAGATTCATTCATTCATTCATTCATTCGTCTGTATTGTATCTTTAATCTTTTGATGGGTTGTGGCCTGAAACACCATCCAAAACACATTACATCTAAGCTGCAGCCATCATTTTGTAATAAGTTATTGTTCATGTGCAACACTTTTTTTTTAATGTTTTAACTTTATTTGTGGATGGTAACAGGGTATTTTGTATATTAATTATTCACGGCTTTCTTGCCACCTTCTTGAGCAGCTGATTTATTAATTTATTTGTTGTAATGTTCTAATTGTTTTTTGTTAAATATGTATACTTCCAGTTCCTAGGAGTCGCAAATAGAGATATGACCTCATTGTATTGTCTGTTTCATTGATTTTTTTTACCTTTATCTGTGTGTGAGAGGCTGTCAATTGACTTGTCATAATAGTTGCAATTGATTTTGCTCTACATTGAGTTGTATGAGGGCGCTGTTTGTGTGACAATTAACCAATCATAATGGTTGCAATTGATTTTGCTCTACATTGAGTTGTATGAGGGTGCTGTGTGTTTGACAATTGATTTTGCTCTACACTGAGTTGTATGAGGCGCTGTGTGTGTGACAATTGACACTGAGTTGTATGAGGGCGCTGTGTGTGTGACAATTAACCAATCATAATGGTTGCAATTGATTTTGCTCTACATTGAGTTGTATGAGGCGCTGTGTGTGTGACAATTGACACTGAGTTGTATGAGGGCGCTGTGTGTGTGACAATTGACACTGAGTTGTATGAGGGCGCTGTGTGTGTGACAAATGATTTTGCTCTCCATTGAGTTGCATGAGGGCGCTGTGTGTATGTGACAATTGACCAGTCATGGTTGCAATTGATTTTGCTCTACATTGAGCTGTATGAGGGTGCTGTATGTGTGTGACAATTGACCAGTCATGGTTGCAATTGATTTTGCTCTACATTGAGCTGTATGAGGGCGCTGTATGTGTGTGACAATTGACCAGTCATGGTTGCAATTGATTTTGCTCAACACTGAGTT